TAGTATCGCCATATAGTGAGTCTGTGTTGGTTGTAAACGTAAATGTTTCTAATTACAATCAACACTAAAACAAGTATCTCATAGAACAAACTCTTTTACTATCAAAAGTACACAAAAAAAATATACATGTTGCCAACAAAAGAATAATGTAAGAAATAATATAATAAGTAATATAATAAATAATCACCGCATCTGCGTTCACGCAGTTGCGTCTGGAACATCCTCCCCACCCTGATCAACCTCAAGAGGAATGATCAGTTGAACAGGTCGGGATATTTCCTTGCCATCAGAACGTAAAGTACAAGTCCGGACTTTTCCATCGCGTCCTTTAATTAGTCCGGTTACCAATCCTCTTTTCCACGTATGTCGTGGTCTTACATCTTCGTGAAGTAGTACTATGTCTCCAACACGAACATGAGAAGATCTTTGAATGTTGCGAACTTGGTGGAAAGATCTTAATTGCAATAGATAGTCCTTAGACCATTTCTTCCAAAATGCGTCTAATAAATCCTGTTGTTGTTTGTACAATTTTGTCAGATTTCTACTAGATGCTGCAGGCTGTGAAGGTATGGTTGTAAGTCTTTTACCGGTACGAAAATGGGATGGTGTTAATGTTTCTTCAGGATCATCATTTCCTTGTTCATAAACTAACGGTCGACTATTTAATGCGGCTTCAACTCCAACTAATGCTGTAGAAAGACCTTCTTCATCTAACAAGGTTCGACCTAGGGATTTTCGCAAGCATCTTTTTGTTAGTCCGATCAAACGTTCCCACCATCCTTGAGTAATAAATCGAGTAACATTACCTCGCACTGTTCTTCTTTTTCTTTTCAAAAGTGCCAGACTATCGCCAAGTTCTTTATCGTTTGGTTTCTCCATCATTGAGCAATACTGATGTTTGAAGTTTCGTTATTTTTTAAAAGAGTGACTGCGTAAAGTATTCATCTGATTCGTATTTAATTTTAAACCGAGTTGTTTCGGCACCAAAATGTGTTGGTTGTAAACGTAAATGTTTCTAATTACAATCAACACTAAAACAAGTATCTCATAGAACAAACTCTTTTACTATCACAAAAGTACACAAAGAATATATACATGTTGCCAACAAAAGAATAATGTAAGAAATAATATAATAAATAATATAATAAATAATCACC